CATAAAATTCAGCACAAGGGGAATAACTTGCAATTAGTATGATGTGTGACTTGTGATGATTCTTCTTGTTTCAATAGAAATATTTCTCTGTCCTACCCTTGCCTCCACTGCTGTTATCTTCCACCATGGCAGGGCTTCATAAGGCTAATGGGTTGTCAGGAGCTCACATCAAGAGAGCTTGCCTATGCTCCCCTTTCCTCCCATTCATACAATCCATACTACAGCTTCTATAAATGACACAGAATCTCTGAAGCGAAGGCAGAAAAATGATTGAAACTCTGCACCTTCCTGTGTGTTATCACCAATTTGGCTACAGAAGTGGAAATACAGTTTAAGTAAACCTAACTCCACATGCCATTTTTAAGCAGTAACAATATTTTTAATTCTATTAACAAATTCCTAACACTATTTTAACATTACTATTTAGATCAGTACACTGCCCTGCCAAGAATCAGCATTTTCCCGGGGAAGGGGGGGGGGTTACATATGTTTGTGATTAGACATGAGATGTCTGTGCAAAGCAATGACAGGCTGTTTGCATGTAAGTGCACATTGAGTGGTTACAGGAAGTGATTAGGAACAAAGCAGCCCTGAGCACAGACACTAACTATATATATGTAATCACTTAATGTGTACATGTAAACTGCAGTGCCTGTCAGCCTGTCATTGATTTGAACTTTTGGAATCACAAACCCATGTGATGAGTGTTCCCCTGTGAGGAATCACAGAAATACACCTATTCTTGGTGGTGCATGGACCTAATTGACTATGTGAATGTGGCATTATAAACAAGAAAAAAAAGCATTGTACCCCTGCCAGTATAGTAGTTTTGTTTGACATCTTGGATTGCATGTAAATGTGGAGGTGATTGTAAAAGTGTCAGACACTCAAAAGGGATCTTCAATATCTCCGGATTATACAGCTACACCTCCAGTAATGTTGTGTACCTTATCCAGTGCAGAAAATGCAGCAAAGGATCTTATGTTGGCGAAACAGGACAGAAGTTGCAAACAAGGATGAATACGCACAGACATACCATCAAGGAACATAAAGAAGGTGACCTTTGCACACCTGTGGGACACCATTTCACACAACCAGGCCACAATATGGAAGACCTCAATGTTTTGGTTCTGACATGAAAATTCAAATCTATTCAGGAAAGAAAAACATTTGAACTAAGAATGATAATTCTATTTGACACAAAAGATAACGGCCTTAACTTGGACATGGGGTTCCTCAGTCATTATCCGACAGCTTTATGACTATCTATTAGCTGAAGCTTGACCCCCTCTGTGTGAGTGTAGTATCCCCCCCCTCCCCCCCTCGCTCTTGATGTATCTTATCTGTAGCCTTTTTTGTTTTTTTTTCTCAATCCCTTCTAACATTCTGCTTAAACTTTGTGATTTGTAATAGTATTGTTTGGACTTTGAAGAAGGGGACATACCCCGAAAGCTTGTCCTCAAAATTGTATGTTAGTGCAAATAAAAAAAGTATCACGGACAGTACTCAATTGTTTCTGATGTAAATGTGGAGAAACTATAAATTCAGACATGTGAAATTAAAAACAAATTCTTATGCTGAACCCTATAAGGGCTCGTTCACACTTGACTGTTTTACCAACACTTGCCAAATGCCCCTATAGTGTTTGGCAAGCGTTGGTCCGGTGTTTGGGGACATTGCTTAACGCTCGGAAAATGCTCCGCAAACAACGTATGCTCCGCAAATGCCTATAATGAAGTTTAAATGGTGTTACTGCTCCGCAAACGCCCCGCAACCATGTCGCAACCGCGCCACAAACGCCGGCCAGGCATTTGCTGAGCGGCACAGTAGACTAGAATAGGAGGCTTCAACGCCTCCTGACTCAAGCAGAGGCGTCTGTTTTGCGGCGACGCTAACGCTCCCGTTAGAACAGCTCCATGTGCTGCAATGTGCAGAATTGTCAGAGGAGTTTTGGAAGCGGTAAAAACGCTTCCCAAACGCCTCTCTGCCACCTGCACACAACGCTAGTGTGAACGTAGCCTTATAAACAGTCATTGCTCCCCAGTGGAAGAACAATACGTTGTGTGAAATGTGTTGGATTTATTGAGGAGTCAGGACAAAGTTATTTATCTTTGAGTGCTTAAGAGAACCTCCATGAGTATATTGAAGATGGTATTGGTATAACAGATGTCAAGTATACTATACCCATTTTTGTCAAGTTGTTTGTATGAGAGTTCATTACTATTCTTTTGCTTGATTTATTACATGAGAATCAGCTTTTTTTCTTTTTTATTATGATACAATACAAGCACTTTGTGTATAAACAAAGTGGAATGTAACAGGAGAAAAATAACATCAAGTGACTGGGTCACATGATTGAAGTTTGAAAGAATCAGGTAGTACTCCCCGGACAAAGATTAATGATACTTTGGGGACCCAAAGGCTGGAAGGCATTTAGCAGAAACCCATGATTGTGAAGTAAGCAGATACCACATGATGTGGTGATAAAGCAAAACTCCAGGGAATGCAAAAGTCAATTCTTGCAGTGGGTCCTCCTCTACACTGCAATGGCAAAATGCTTGTTTTTTTCCCCTTCCTTCTACACAACCAGTAACCTGAGGCCACTTCTCTTCACCACTTGACCAGCTGTGGCCTTTCCAATTTCATCACACACAATGCAGAAGCAGCAGTCCTGTTTGTATGTGAGGATGTCAAGGGCCCCCACCCGTGTCAGAGAGTGTGGAATAGTGTCAGCTGCTAGGGCAGTGGTTCTCAACCTTTCTAATGCCGCGACCCCTTAATACAGTTCCTCATGTTGTGGTGACCCCCAACCATAAAATTATTTTCATTGCTACTTCATAACTGTAATTTTGCAGTGGGAGGAGTAGTGCCACGTCATTGGTGTCAGTGGGAGGAATAGTGTCCCATCACTGATGTCAATGGGAGGAATAGTGCCACATCATTGGTATCAGTGGTAGGAATAGTGCCCCATCATTGGTGTCAGTGGTAGGAATAGTGCCCCATCATTGGGTCAGTGGGAGGAATAGTGCCCCATCATTGGTGTCAGTGGGGGGAATAGTGCCCCATCATTGGTGTCAGTGGGGGGAATAGTGCCCCATCATTGGTGTCAGTGGGAGGAATAGTGCCCCATCATTGGTGTCAGTGGGAGGAATAGTGCCCCATCATTGGTGTCAGTGGGAGGAATAGTGCCCCATCATTGGTGTCAGTGGGAGGAATAGTGCCCCATCATTGGTGTCAGTGGGGGGAATAGTGCCCCATCATTGGTGTAAGTGGGGGGAATAGTGCCCCATCATTGGTGTCAGTGGGGGGAATAGTGCCCCATCATTGGTGTCAGTGGGGGGAATAGTGCCCCATCATTGGTGTCAGTGGGAGGAATAGTGCCCCATCACTGGTGTCAGTGGGAGAAAAAGTGTCCCATCACTGTATCAGTGGAAGGAATAGTGCCCCAACACTGGTGTCAGTGGGAGGAATAGTGCCCCATCATTGGTATCAGTGGGAGGAATAGTGCCCCATCATTGGTGTCAGTGGGAGGAATAGTGCCCCAACATTGGTGTCAGGGGGAGCAATAGTGCCCCAACATTGGTGTCAGTGGGGGAGGAATAGTGCCCCAACATTGGTGTCAGTGGGAGGAATAGTGCCCCATCGTTGGTGTCAGTGGGAGGATAGTGCCCCATCGTTGGTGTCAGTGGGAGGAATAGTGCCCCATCGTTGGTGTCAGGGGGGGAATAGTGCCCCATCGTTGGTGTCAGGGGGAGGAATAGTGCCCCATCGTTGTGTCAGGGGGAGGAATAGTGTCCATCGTTGGTGTCAGGGGGAGGAATAGTGCCCCATCGTTGGTATCAGTGGGAGGAATAGTGCCCCATCGTTGGTGTCAGTGGGAGGAATAGTGCCCCATCGTTGGTGTCAGTGGGGGGAGGAATAGTGCCCCATCATTGGTATCAGTGGGGGGAGGAATAGTGCCCCGTCATTGGTATCAGTGGGAGGAATAGTGCCCCCATCATTGGTGTCAGTGGGAGGAATAGTGCCCCATCATTAGTATCAGTGGGAAGTATAGTGCCCCATCGTTGGTGTCAGTGGGAGGAATAGTGCCCCATCATTGGTGTCAGTGGAGGAATAGTGCCCCATCGTTGGTATCAGTGGAAGGAATAGTGCCCCATCGTTGGTGTCAGTCGGAGGAATAGTGCCCCATCGTTGGTATCAGTGGGAGGAATAGTGCCCCATCGTTGGTGTCAGTGGGAGGAATAGTGCCCCATTGTTGGTGTCAGTGGGGGGAGGAATAGTGCCCCATCGTTGGTGTCAGTGGGGGGAGGAATAGTGCCCCAACACTGGTGTCGGTGGGAGGAATAGTGCCCCAACACTGGTATCAGTGGGAGGAATAGTGCCCCATCATTGGTGTCAGTGGGAGGAATAGTGCCCCATCATTGGTATCAGTGGGAGGAATAGTGCCCCCATCATTGGTGTCAGTGGGAGGAATAGTGCCCCATCATTGGTATCAGGGGGAGCAATAGTGCCCCAACATTGGTGTCAGTGGGAGGAATAGTGCCCCATCGTTGGTATCAGTGGGAAGTATAGTGCCCCATCGTTGGTGTCAGTGGGAGGAATAGTGCCCCATCATTGGTGTCAGTGGGAGGAATAGTGCCCCATCATTGGTATCAGTGGGAGGAATAGTGCCCCATCGTTGGTGTCAGTGGGAGGAATAGTGCCCCATCGTTGGTGTCAGTGGGAGGAATAGTGCCCCATCGTTGGTATCAGTGGGGGGAGGAATCGTGCCCCATCGTTGGTGTCAGTGGGAGGAATAGTGCCCCATCGTTGGTGTCAGTGGGAGGAATAGTGCCCCATCGTTGGTGTCAGTGGGGAGGAGGAAGAATAGTGCCCCATCGTTGGTGTCAGTGGGGGGAGGAATAGTGCCCCATCGTTGGTGTCAGTGGGGGGAGGAATAGTGCCCCATCATTGGTATTAGTGACACCAATGATTGGGCACTATTCCTCCCACTGACACCAATGATACTTACCTTGCTGACCCCTGCTCCAGCCTGGGCTCGCTCGCTCCCCTCCCTCTCCCATGGTACAGACACTTACCGGTCAGATGTCTTCCTTCTCCGGCCGCTCTCCTCCTCTTCACTCGCTCGATCTTCGCGGTGCCGCTCGGCTCCTCCTTTCCAAGCTCCACCTCCTCGCCGGTGATTGGCCGCCTGTGTGCCTCTCCTGAGCTACAGCTCCGGCGGCCAATCACCGACGAGGAAGGATTGATCCCGGGGGTGTGTCCAGATGACAGGGACGGCATGTCATCCCGCCCACACCTGGAGAAGGATCGAGGAGCGGTGTCTCGGTTCCTAAGGCCATCGGAAATATGTGTTTTCCGATGGTCTTAGGCGACCCCTGGGAAAGTGTCGTTCGACCCCCACCCCCAGGTTGAGAACCGCTGTGCTAGGGGAACAAGGAATAAGGTAAATATTTCTGCATATTCCTCCTCCCCTATACAAAACAAGCATTTCATCCTTTCAGTGCAGAGAAAGACCTAATGCAAGGCTAAATTGTTGTTTTCCCTGATGTTCTGCTTTAAATAGTGAGTGTTTGCTGTATAAGAAGGATGCACTGAACTTGACACACATCTCCCAAGTGATGCATTTGCAATGCACTGGATATAAAAGAGTTGCCACTATTAAGTAGCTACACACCAAAGAACATATTTAAGCGGGTTAAGACATTCTATAAGATATATAGGGAAATGAAATAAAGGCCTGTGAAATTAAAATAAAAAAATTCATTTACTGGCATTACTGTGTAAAACTTACCTGAATACAATATTTATCACTATATTGAGTCTTTAAACTGTTCAGAACACCAATCTCTTTAGAGTCAATTAATACTTTTTATTTTTTATTTTTTAATTTAAATATTTATTATTTTTCACAGTAATAACAATAGAGAAAAAAGATAAAAACATTTCCATCTCAATCATCATAAATATACAATTGTTTCTTATTACTTCATTTACTCCCTCTTAGAACATTAACCCCTTCCCCCCCCCCCTAACCCCCCCCCCCCCTCTGCATTTTCCTTATCTTTTATCAACAGCAAGCATATCTTACCCCTCTTCTATTCTCTATGGCGTTCTACTTTTCACTGGAAAATACTTTTCTTCCACTTGCTAAGTTCCACCCCCCTCAAGCAATATTCTTAGCATCACATAGTTTCATACTCATGCAATTTATTACAGATAGCATTTTCTTAAAAGATTCATTAGAAACAAAGAAATACAAACATTAAAATAGTACTGTAGTTGCTATCACTGAACCAGACTACTTGCTGCTTAAAAGAGAGTCCAGCTGTTAATTCTGCTGCTGATACTTACAGTAAAAATAAACATTTATCCAATTATGTATGTATTCAAATTCATATACACACATATTGTATACTTGTAATACTAATTAAACAAACTGTATTACCATAAATCTCTGAACTTGAAAACAGGCATTAGGTAGCAGTGAACATTAAGGGGAAGATTTACTGAAGCCAGTGCAGACAGCATCTGGTGCAGCTGTGCAAAGTAATCAACCATTTTTTAACTTCAACTTGTTCATTTAAGTTTTGACAATAAAACATATAAGCTGATTGGTTACTATGCACAGCTGCACCAGATTTTGTGTGCACCAATTTTTGTAAATCTTCCCCTAAGAGTCTATATTGTCTTGCACAGTGTTGTGATCCTAAATTTTTTTAGGCATTGGGAGCTACAGTATATGAGAAGGTTTTTATGTAGACTGGGAAAAGGGATTTAAGACATTATCACAAGTTGAGGTTGGGGAGGTACAACTGAAAAATGCAGGTTCTACATAGCAGCATCAGCCTCTAATATATGGATGCTATGATATGTGAATGTCAGCAAGGGCTGATTTAGAAATAAATTGTTGATGAATACCTAACTTGCAATATGTTAAAATATGTAATAAAATAATGTACAATATATGATTTATCTTATGCTACTAAACCCTATGGAATTATCTACAGTATGTAGTTAGTATTTAGTTAGTATTGTTACATACAATCACCAACTAATTTATTAGGTACACTTTGCTTGTACTTTGTTGGACCCCCCTTTGCCTTCCAAACTGCCTTATTTCTTCATGGTATAGATTCAACAAGGTGTTGGAAACATTCCTCAGTGATTTTGGTCCATATTGACATGAGTTACTGTTACCTTTCTATCATCTCGAACCAGTCTGCCCATTCTCCTCTGACCTCTGACATCAACAAGGCATTTTCGTTCACACAGCTGCTACTCACTGGATATTTTCTCTTTTTGGAACATTCTCTGTAAACCCTAGAGATGGTTGTGTGTGAAAATCCCAGTATATCAGCAGTTTTTTAAATACTCAGACCAACCTGTCTGGCACCAACAACCATGCCACGTTCAAAGTCACTTAAATCCCCTTTCTGCCCCTTTCTGATGCTCAGTTTGAACTTCAGCAAGTTGTCTTCATCACATCTACATGCCTAAATGCATTGAGTTGCTGTCAGGGCAGGGGCCGAGGAATGGACAGGCAGGCCTAACAATGTACCGCACTGGCTGACGACAACCACCACCCACAGACCGAAGTCCCTCAGGGTGCGGAGTCTAAGTCCCAGGCTGCCCTTCACCAGGGCCCCTGATGGTGGGGATGGACTTGACGCAGCCAGGAACCAGGTCGCAGCCCCCGAGACACCTCAGCTGCGGTAATGGCCGCCGCCAATGGCGTGTAGCTGGTGGAAGAGACAAAAGAGTAGTCAGACAGGCCGGGTCAACAACAACAGGACAAAACAGTACAGGACAGCAGATGAGAATCACAGGTCACGAGCCGGGTTCAGCAACAGAGGGTCAGATCAAAGGAGAATACAAAGAATAGTCAAGTCACAAGCCGAATCAGATACCAGGAGAGTCACGAGAGTCAGAACAGAGTAATAGCAACACAAAGACACAAGACACAAGTGCAAAGAGCATGTGCGGGCCACAGGCTTATATGTCATCAGCCACACCCCTCTGGGGGATGGACCTCAGAGACCTGAAGGCATAAAAGGATTCCCACCATGCACAGCAGAATTCCAAGATGGACGCCAGCACATGGAGTAACATAACCTCAGGGAAAAGGTAGGACCTTGACAGTTGCTGCCATGTGATTGGCTGATTAGCAATTTGTGTTACCAATCAATTGAACAGGTGTACCTAATAAAGTGGCCAGTCAGTGTAGCTATCATGTTAAAAAATGGATCCTTAGACCCGTAAACCAGTTAATCCAAAGGAAGGTAAATAACCCTTTTTACAATGGTCCAGTTTGTTCTAATTGGAAAAATTCCATTGATAAACATTAGAGATGAGCGAAAATCGAACATGACGAAGTGGAATTCGTTCCGAAGATTTGGAAAAATTCTATTCGCAACGAATCCGAAGATTAGCAAACTTCGGATGCACGAATCGAATTTTCCCAAAAATGGCGGCGACATGTGTGGCGACAGGAGAAAATGGACAGAGAAAATGGGGCGGGGATCTCTGGGAAGGCGCGCAGACAAGGCGCGCTGACCCATAAAGCATTCATGAGTCATGAATCATGACATGTGATCGCATTAGCCAATCAGCAGCCAGCCAGCCAGCACTGTGTAATGGTGGAGCTATAAATCGCGGCCATCTTAGAATTCTCCATTAGCCTCCGGTCATTCAAGAGAGAGACAGACCTCTGTGTATTGAGGGACAGAGTTAGGGCCACAGAGACTTTAGGGCCACAGAATTGTTACTCAGGGACACAGAATTGTTACTCAGGGACACAGAATTGTTTACTCAGGGACACAGAATCGTTACTCAGGGACACAGAATCGTTACTCAGGGACACAGAATCGTATACTTAGGGCCACAGCTATCAAAGAATCGAAAATTTAAAGTGACATACACCATTTTTTTTTTTGGTGGCTGTCCTGCACAGTTGGTGCTGCAGTTTACCGATTGTGCAAAATAAACTGACTTTCTGCTTCACAACCACTATTGTACGTTCAAAGAGTTAAATCCATTTACACGCCGGCTGGCGGTAATATTTTTTGGGTGATTAGTGCATTCCAGTGACACAAACGTACAGTTTCCAGCCAACGCAAGCTGCAATTGACCGATTGTGTACAATAAACTGACTTTCTGCTTCACAACCACTATTGTACGTTCAAAGAGTTAAATCCATTTACACGCCGGCTGGCGGTAATATTTTTTGGGTGATTAGTGCATTCCAGTGACAGAAACGTACAGTTTCCAGCCAACGGCAAGCTGCAATTGACCGATTGTGTACAATAAACTGACTTTCTGCTTCACAACCACTATTGTACGTTCAAAGAGTTAAATCCATTTACACGCCGGGTGGCGGTAATATTTTTTGGGTGATTAGTGCATTCCAGTGACATAAACGTACAGTTTCCAGCCAACGGCAAGCTGCAATTGACCGATTGTGCTAAATAAACTGACTTTCTGCTTCACAACCACTATTGAACGTTCAAAGAGTTAGATCCATTTACACTCCGGGTGGCGGTAATATTTTTTGGGTGATTAGTGCATTCCAGTGACATAAACGTACAGTTTCCAGCCAACGGCAAGCTGCAATTGACCGATTGTGCTAAATAAACTGACTTTCTGCTTCACAACCACTATTGTACGTTCAAAGAGTTAAATCCGGTTTTATTTTTGGGGTGCTTATTGAATTAAAGAGTATGTCAGACAACACGCAGAGGAGTGGCAGAGGAGGCAATGTTTTAGAAGCGAGCAGACGTGGCAGCAGAGGAAGGGGTCGAGGCAGCACTAGTCGCAGCCAGAGGCCAGTGCTCCCGGTGTCATCCAGCGGTCGTGTCTCTCCACCGACAACCCTGCCGTCATCGATTGATTGACTCGGTCGTCTTCCTCTTCCCAGGTCACCTCTGACACCTACAGCCAACGGTCGGTGGGTACGTCAGACACAACCGTTAGTTGGCATGGCCCGGGAGCAAGCCCACTGAAATCACGTGTCCTCGACCTGCCCCTGTCCTTTGGTGTTCCCTCACCAAGCGAAGTATCGCATGCTGTGGGCTCAGCCCCACTGTACAGTGAGGAAGAGCTAACAGAGGGCGGTCAGGAACGGGGGGAGACATCCGCCTCTTCAGCAGCCAGGCGAAGAAGTACTGGCGAGGAGAGTGGCTCGGTAGCCGGTCTAGAGACAGGTCTGTCTCCTGACCCACACGCAGCCGAGGGGGCTAGTAGTGAGGCGGAGACCCTAATTGATGATGATGAGGCTGATCGCACTTGGCAGCCTCGTCGTCATCAGGCTATTGCTTCCGCATCATCAGGAGAAGAG